TCCAGTGGGACCAGCAGCGACTTCCTTGGGAGGTACGAGTGCTCACTGACAAAGCCCAATTTTCTGCACTGAACAAACACTTAAAGTAGATTTTATATGGCCAGACACCTGTGCCTTGTGCTTATCATCCTGGCTACTTAGGAAGCTGACAGCAGGATTGTAACTCAAGACCAACCAGATGGAAAAGCTTACAGGAAGCCTTCTCGTCCCCTAGCTGGGCATGGTGGCGTGCCTGTCATCCTAAGCTGTGTTGGGAGGCTTGTGTTTCCATGACAGCCATGGCAGAGCATGCCTGTCTCACCCTGCAGTGGCAGGGGCCTGTCACCTCAGCTACCACAAGAAGCCTTTAATAGGTGGAGCAGAGTTCAGGCATTCCCCTGAGCCCGAAGTGAGGCCTTATTTCAAACATAGCCAATGGAACAAGGTCTGAAGAGATGGAATCAGTACTTTCCTCCTTCCTACCAAGCACAGGGGCCCGAGTTCAAGCCCCAGTACTGACAAAAGAAAAAAGAAAAACCGTCACTACATACGCATGTGTGATACTTCACCCATTATCCCTTATAAATACAAAAGATTTTATATTTTTAAAAATAACCTTAGAAGTAAAGTAGCATGTTTTTTATTTTTTATTTTATTTATATACATATCTGTATTAAAAATGTTGTACAGAGGGGTTACAGTTACATGAGTAGGGTAATGAGAACATTTCGTAGAGAGCATTGTTACCTCCTCCTTTGTTTTCCCTCCACCATCATTTCCCTCACCACCCTCCAACTCCTCCCGCTCCTCCCCCCACCCTGACATTGTAAAGTTCGTTTTCAACATAGTGTCCTGTACATCTCATCATCGTCACAGTGGGTCAGCCTGCATCCCCATTTAAGCATTCCCCAATATCCCTTCCCCTCCCCAAATTACAAAAATGTATATACAAGATGCAAAACACTGGCATCAAATCCAGTGAAAACAGGTTATACCGAGGGGGAAGAACATATAAAAGAAACAAAGGAATCACATAGTGCACTGTAAGTACATTAAAAACAATACCAAGAAAGAAAAACCACTTGTGTCCCTGTCTTGGGGTACATTTTGCTTAACATTATCTCATGTGGTCATATGTACATAGCCTTTGACCTTCTCTACGTCCTAGCCATGTACTAGTCACTGCCAACAAGGGAAACCATGGGACCTATGTTTCTTTGGGCCTGGCTTACTTCACTTAATATAACTTTTTTGTGGGGGAGGTCTGGTCGTGGGGCCTGAACTCTGGGCCTGGGCACTGTCCCTCAGTTCTTTAGCTCAAGGCTGACACTCTACCACTTGAGCCACAGTACCACTTCCGGCTTTTTTCTTTTTTTGCTTATGTGGTGCTGAGGAATCGAACCTAGGGCCTCATGCATGCAAGGCAAGCGCTCTACCACTGAGCCACCTTCCCAGCCCAACTTAATATAATTTTTCCAAGTCTTTCCATTTCCTAACAAGTGAGGCAATGTCATTCTTTCTGACCGAGGCATAAAATTCCATTGTGTGTATATATACCACATTTTCTTGATCCATTCA